AATAAATAAAAATAAATATAAAAAAAATTAAAAAGTTTATAAAAAATAAATAAAAAATTTGAAAGAATTAAAGTAAAAACATTTTCGCTATCGGTTTCGGCTTGAAAATTGTTTAAATTTCGGTTTTGTTTCGGTTTAAAAATGTCCATTTCGGTGCATCTCTAATAATTTTACTAAAAGGACACGGTTGTATATCCTTATAACTAATACTTGAAAAGAGAAGCCAAAAAATACTAAACTGGAACTTTTAAACTGAGACAATAAATTCGTAGCAAAGAGGTAGTAAGCACCAGTCCCAAACTGGCATTTGTTTATGTCAGAACTACTTATTTCCCAATGCGAGTCAATGGTACTAAAAAAGCAGCTTGATGAAGCTTAGAAGGAGGTTAGATGCAAGTTAGGAGGTCAACTGCCCCTGCAAATGAACTACGAATGATCTCAGAAGAATTTACAACTATTTTCAAATGCAAATTGAAGTCATGCTATATCTGCCCATTGTCCAAAGCCCTTCAACACAGGGCCCAAAGCTTCCACACTATCACTTACCTGCTCATTTCCATTGACTGTATACCAGAGCCATTCCACAGGATTGTAATTGGAGCTGTCACATTTCAAGACTGTAGTATCTCCAATATAAGTCATTAAGGTCTTTCCCCCACAATGAACACCAGGCGCTGGAACAGAAGACATTTACATCAATTCATAAAGTGCTAGAAGGGCCAGCAAAGAGGTGTCTCTTCTTTTAGTAGATGTTTTGGGAACATTTTAGGAAGCCAAATAAACAATCTTTCTATTGGGCCATACATTGTTCTTTCACTAATTATGTCATGTCTGCCAATCTTCCCATTAAAATCTATGAGGCAGAGGTCAAAAGCACTGAGGGTTCTTTACAACTGCTACTTGGGAGTTTGTCCAAGACTACAGGGATGGAAACTCTTGGGTGAGGGCAGTAAGTTGCACATTAACTCTCGCTTCATGCTGTCCAATTGGCTGCAGTGCTTGGGAGAATGGTGCACCTTTTTAGAGGACCCCTTGCAATGCCCCTTAGATGATGAAGGGTGTGTGATCAGCACAAATGCCAGACCGGTTCTCATCTTAATAAAAGCCTCTTTATCTGCAGTGTTAGACTCATATCGTTGGAAAGGGGCAGGGGGAATAGTACAGTACATGATATTTTTTGGTTAAAGCCAAACTCCAGCTTATGGAATATAAATATAACATCCATTGTCCTGCACATGCTAAAATAAAAAGATAAAAAGGCAGATTTTGTTCAATGCTCAACCTATCTCCAACCCGGTCCATTGCAGACGTGGCTCTCTGTGATTCAGTGCCAGTCTTTTAGGTTGAAAGACACCCAGCATAATTAAGCTGCCCTGAGCTCACAAGTGCCCCTCTCACAGGTGGCCCACTTGCCCCCGGTTTTATACATATATTATATGAGCAGTGAGTGTATTGCACATGTAGTATGTGGAATGTGTGTCTATGAAAACAATGAAAATGTCAGGCCTGCTGTGTTTTTTGCAATCATCCACAATGCAGGCTGAAAAGAAAGTTGGTGTCAGTTAACGCAATATAACCCCCCCCCTCAGCATGGTGTCAGTGGGTGCAACAATAACCCCCAGCATTGGTATCAGTGGATATAATAACAACCCCTGGCTCTGGTGTCAGTGGACACAATAAACACCTCAAGCATTGCTGTCAATGACCGCAATAATAACCCCCCACACTGGTGTCAGTGGCAGTATTATTAACCCCCCCGGACATTGGTGGTCAGGGGCATTGTTGTTACCTCTCTTATCCTGCACTAGTGTTCAGCAGGAACGCTATTTAACGGCTGGTGGTCAGTGGCAGTGTTTCTGTAACCCCTCCTCCTTGCACTGGTGGTCACTGCAGTGTTCTTTAAATCTTTAACCCTCCTCCCCAATGGTGGTCACTCTCACTATTTGTGGTCAGTGCAGGGTTTTTGTGACCGCCCCATTGGTGGCCACTGCTGTGTTTTTTGGTCGCCCTCCCCTTAACAATGTCAGTAGCAGTGTTTTTAACCTCACCCATTGGTGGTCAGTGCAGTGGCAGTAAAAATGAACCCCCCAGCATTGGTACTTAGTGATTACTTACATGATCACACGTTCCTGCCCCACTCTCCCTCTCTCTAATGAGGCTGGGACTATACTCGTACTGTTGGGGGGGGGGAGAGAACATTCTGACTGCCAGTACTGTCTTTAGTTCCATGTTGGGTAATTAAATAGAGATGGTGTTTCTTCATTCTGCACCCCACTGAAGATATGGGGTTCAGAACTGTACATATGAGCAAACATACAGTATAGGCATTTATCCAGGCAAACGCACATTACAGCCCCATCCCCTTTGTCTGGCCCTTGCAATCTGGAGTTGGTCTTTAAAGTTTTTCAGCTGAAAAGGTATTTAAAAGTGATGATAACACCTGTGTGGTAAAAGATGATAAACGCTTCTTTTTCACGAAAATAGAACTCAGGGGTTAACATTTCAAGGAAAGAATTTCAGGGTCTGAAATGCTTCCTTCTATTATTAGCGCAGTCATCAAACTCATGAATTGTGTCACAATGTCATAATAACATTGTGATAATATAGCCTGGCATTACACTTTTTGCTTGCATTACGCAGCATTGTTCAACTTGATTGATCAGGCCAATGTCTGGGATTGGTTTATATACATTATGTACAGTACCCCCTCTAGTGGTCAAACTAACACAAAGCATTTGGGAAGCACGATGGTAAAATGATCACAAATGTATACAGAGTATCACCCATGGCTCTTACCTTTTATATAAAATGTTGCTTTTGCCTCTGTGTTAGAACTAAAAAGGCAAGCATAACTTCCAGTACTGTTCACGTCTGCCACAGACACTCTGTACATCAGAATAAAAAAGTATTATAGATCTTATGAGTAACAGTTCTTTTCTGCAGGCGTAAAGTCTAATAGCTGCCGATATGGCACCACTGCTAGGCATACCCAGAGATGGGACAAGAAAAAGTCCAATCTTCTTTATTTGTCCTGTTTAGGATTGTATTTCTGTCTGTGTCCCCATGAGGGAGATATTGTATGTGTCCCATCATTCTCCTGACTGTTAAGAACCCCAGAATGTTGGGTGCAGCAGTGACAAGCGCTTGGCGCCACATTTGCAGACAATGAAGATCAAGAAGAGTCACTGGCACCCCAGTAGTGATACAAGCCACGTCTTTTATTGACGCATCTTCACATAATCACAAAGCAAACAATGTTTTGGGGTCGCATAGGGTCCCTTCATCATACAAACAATGTGATAGCGAGTGAAGAACACAGCAAACTTAAATACATCGGTGTGAATACGAAAAAACATTTTCAGTGGGGCATAACCTTGAGAAAGGTGGGGGGGG